AACCAAACAGGCTAAATAACAAAAAAAGAAACAAGAAACACAAGGAGAAGACAAACTGGCACTGAGAGAAAACATGACACACACTAAACACTCTGGTGAGGGGAAGGGTAACGACACACAGGTGAGGCTAATCAGGGCGGGACAGACAATCAGACACAGGTGAAGTCATCAAAAGGGAGGGCAGTGAAGTGATCTGAAACAAGAGGAGATGTGAGAGGCCGTTTACATGTGGCCGGCTATTTTCATAAACGGACATTTCACCGTCTCCGTTTTCAAAAAGATCTTCGTTTACACTTACCCGTGTATATATACACAAGAGCATGCCAAACCTGTAGGTGGCAGTGTAGCGAGAAGCTCAAGCCTTCCATGTATCCATTGTCACCATAGCAACATAGGTCGCACTTTTGACACAGGCGCAAGTTCTGGCGCATACTGTGACGTCGGCTGCTTATAACTCCGTTTATCTCCGTTTATCTCAGTTTACATGCAAACGCACAAACGGAGTTTTCCAAAATCTCCACTCTGGCCGGAGTTTTTAGAAAGACTTGTTTTCAGAGGAGAAATCTCCGTTTGCGTGTAAACGAAGGGCACAAACGAAGGAAGATGTCTCCGTTTATCAAAATCACCGTGTACATGTAAACGGCCTCTGAGTTCCAAAGTAAAACAGGGAACAACATGAATGAAATAAAATCATCATAACTAATAGGTCTAAACGAGCATTTGAAATGTTTTACCACACAGTGGGCTTTTTATGATTGTCCAGATTTTTTTAATCTGGAATGCATAGCCAGCTTAGTTAGGGAGATCCAAGACAAGCCACCGCTACTGACATTTAGCAAAATTTAAAGGAGAAGGCAATACACACATTTTTACAGTGGAGAATGTAAGAATCACTTAAGGCCTACGACAATGAAAAATGAAGTTTGAAATGTTAAAAACAGCCATTATTAATGTGTACAATTTTTTGCTAAAGCTACAGGGAGCCACTGGAGAGGGACAAAAGAGCCGCATGTGGCTCCAGAGCCACAGGTTGCCTACCCCTGGTCTATACTGTGGTGTGTAGGGGTTGCTGTCATTTAAAGCTGAGACAGATGGATTATTAATAAGTTAGTCGACTGATAGAAATTAATCAGAGACTATTTTGATAATAATTGTTCACTTTTGAAGCAAATATTTTCTTGCTCCAGCTTCTCGGATTTAAAGATTTGCAAGCAAGATATTTGAAGACGTCGCCTTGAGCTCTGGGAAACTGTAACAGACATTGACAGACAGTGTTTTCAAATATTTCATAGAATAATCGATTAATCACTTGTTGCAGCCATGCAGTCATCACTGCATTTACTGAGCAGAACTTTTTCTTTTATAGCATGTTTACCAGCCCCACCCCACTTTTAAAGTGTTTATAGGTTTTGGTTAAAACACATTATTAAAGGTCAGAACTGCACAGATGAATATTAGGAATAACTATACAGTGAATCTATATACACACAGTTATGTACAGTATGTAAAATATAGGAAAGTATGTACCAGTACATAATAAACAGATGAGTATACTACATGAATAAACGATAAGATATTTGATGATAATAATAATGGCATAAAGAAGAAAAGGAAGAAAAAATGTATAGTTATGGTCAGAATTTGCGAGTACAAGTAAACTTAATGGGATGACTAGATTAACCGAGATAAATATTATAATGAATTTCATATGTCAGTAATATGCTTTCCCTGTGTGTGTGTGATGGTGTGTTAACTCTCAGGAGCTGCGTCGTTGATCTGTGCTGAAACTCTGCGGCAGGAGAACTTTGGCGGCAGAATCCTCATGGTCAGCAGAGATGACCTTTTACCTTACGACAAAACACGACTCAGCAAGGTGCTGCAGAGTAAACAACACCACACAAACACCAACATTTTAGAGATAAATATGTGTGTATTTTTTAATTGGCCTAAACCCTGCACCCACTTTACAGGTGATGAATGTGGAGAGCGACACTATCCTGCTGAGGAGGATGGAGTTTTACCATAAGCACGACATCGAGGTGTGGCTCAGAAAAGAAGTGAGTTCCTTTTCCATCTCCTGTCCACTCATAACTGGACCTTATTGTGACAGCATTTCTTGATACATGTGGTATTTTGACCTGTTCAACACATTACAGGCGATGTCAGTGGACACAGACAAGAAGACAGTCACATTTGATGATGGTTCAGTCCAGAGCTACGACCAGCTCCTCATCTCAACAGGCTGCAGGTACACACATTCACACACAAATATACTGCTGTAATTTAAAATGCTTGTTTGGTGCAGCATCATTCTTATGGAAAAAGTCAATTGAAGTAGGAGCCTACATAAAATGACATAAATAAATCTCTCAATTTAGTTATAGTGCCCTCAGATCCCAAATGGTTTGTACAGAGGCACCAAAATGTGTCATTTGTTACATATATTATGGATGCAAACATTTTGAAATTGGGGTCACTCAAACAAAATCAGAGTGTGTCTTTAAAGATTTTAACAATAACAAACACAAGTTCACATTTGCAGTTCGTTTGGAGACCCCCTTGTGGATGAAGGTCTCTCAGCAGCTGCTTTTCACATGAATTATAAAGCTGTAGACAGTTTACTGCACATTAAGCTTCATTTACAAACTGAACACCTCCAAGTGTAAAACATTTCTTTGTTTCCTTTACAGCACTTAATTGTGAGTTCATTAACACTTCTGAGATTGATTGTTGTCAGTAAACGCAGCACATTTCTCTTGACTGAAACAATTTTGGTCAAAATATTTTATTCAATCGACAGTGACCAACAGATTTTTAATTGTAGTAATGATAAATATATCCTAACTTGTATAACTTTGTATAAGGAAAGTGGTTATTGTTGCACTTCATTGCTCAGTTATTGCCTGTCCTTTAGAGCGAAGGGTCTTGATGTACCCGGCATGAAGCTGGGCAACGTCAAGATGTTGGAGACACCAGAGGACGCCCGGCAAATCCACGCAGCCTGTCTGGGCTGCAACGTCGTCCTCGTGGGAACCTCTTTTGTCGGTACTGTGTTTGCAGTCAGTTGTTGATAAAGAGAAAAGCTTTAAATTGTTTTCTTTACTAATCAATTAATTAATTTATAAATTTAATATATTTTTTAATTTATTTAATTAATTTATTTTACTTAGCTACTTATTCTTCATTAACTCCTTTTTTTTAAATTTTTGTGTCTTAGCACACATTTAATTCTCTTTTCCCCCATGCAACATTTTCCATTTTCCTTGTGCTCATATGCTAATAAGATGGGTGTGTTCATGTATTTCTAGGGCAATGATTGGATGAAAAGTGTAAGGCTTTATATTTCTCTTTACACTCCATTTTAATATTCAGTACAATTAAAAATAGTATTAGCCTGTTCATTGTTATTGTTATTCTCTGTGTTATTGTTGTATTTTGTTATATTTTTTGTTTATATTTTTGTCTGCTTCGGGGCTCCGTACACTTGTATTTGTTTCATTTGAAAATTTCCTACCTCCTGATTTTCTCTACTGCACCACCATCAACACATTATTGTTTCAGGTATGGAAGTTGCATCATATTTGATAGGCAAAGCCTCCAGTATCACGGTGATCGGCAGCAGTCAGATGCCGTACCAGAACACACTGGGTCGTGAAATTGGCAAAATCACCATGATGGTAAGAAAGAAAGACTCCTGTATTTTATCCTCTCATTACTTCTTGTTTCAGTTCAGCTAATTACAGTGTAAACTCTGCTGTTCCTGCAGATGCTGTCAGAGAAAAATGTGAAATTCTTCATGAATGATAACGTGACGGAGGTCAAAGGTGTGGATGGCAAGGTAAAGTGTGAGGAAACACATTCTGCTCATTTGTTTTATCACAGAGTGTTACATGAAAATACAAACACTCTCAGTACCTCATGTGTCCTGTGATATTGTCATTTCGTCCTCAAGGTGAAGGAGGTTGTGCTTAAAAGTGGAAAAGTCATCCCAGCCGATGTCTTGATTGTTGGTATTGGTGAGTGCACTGCAGACATTTCTGTGATATCACATTTACACACAACTCCATACATCATCATTTATTCATGTTTCTGTTCATTCCCTCTGTTACATTATCAGTGAAACATCTTATGATGACCGTTAGAGAATACTGGAGAATGCTAATAGCAAATTTTATTATTAGTATTTGTTGTGTAACTGAGTAACTATGGCAGAGCCAGCCTTGCTGTTTCCCTCTTTTTACAGTCTTTGTGCTGAGCTGAGCTAACCTGCTGCTGGCTCTAGAGTCATATTTACAGGACAGATATAAGAGAGATATCGGTCCTCTTTTCTAACTGCCCATCAGAAAGAGAATAAAATATCAGACCTTTAGTTTAAAATGTTTTCTATAATTGTATTTGACTTATATTTCTTAAAGGAGCTGTATATGACTTTCAGAGCATATCTGTGATTCATGCTGCGTTCTATTTACCTCGGAAGTCAAAGGTCAGAGGTCAGAAATGATGTAACACACAAGGTGATCGCGTTCAAGTACAAGTCAGAAAAACAAGATGTTGTTAGCAATACCATTTCAAGCCAGGTTAGCCACTGTTAGCAATACCAATTGAACCAACTGTATGATTGTTCCAGTGAGACAAAGAGTAGACTGAAGCAGAGATATTGGATGAAGCGAGATAACCAACTCAGCTCACTTCCTGATTCAGTGACGTCAGCGCCACGCCCCCGTAGGAGACTTGCGACAGCTCTGAATGTATTGTCGTCAATGAGGAAAATGAACGTGATCACAATTTATGGTCAATTCTTTCGCCCTGTAGTCACTAAAGTAAATATTGGGTTCATTTTCCACAAGCCACACATCTTCCCAATATTCTGACACTAAAGCTGCATTTTTCATCCGCACAGATCAAGAGAAAGTTAACTTTGTTTGAGCCCTGTCCATCTCAGAAAACAAGTTCTCGCGAGATCTCGTGATCTTGATAAACAGGCGATAAAATCACAGTTAGCTTACAAACAGTTATTTACCGCTAGTAATAAATACAAAATGCCCAAGCTTTGAGCTTTGTGCAACAATAGGCTGCAATAATAGGAAGAATGTATTTTCATTCCACCTGCTTCTCGATCCGCATACACAGACATCCACAGAGCCTCTGTTCAACACGGGGGGGGGGGGGGGGGGGGGGG